TCCATGCTGAATTCCATCACCAGAATGCAAAATACTCTATCATCTAGGTGAGTTTCGATTGCTGTCGTTTTGTCATCATCTTGGGTTATCAGAGCTTATACAGCAAAACGGCCTAAATCTGTGATGTCTGACCGTCAGAAATAGCAAAACGTGTTGATGTAGAGCAATGTTCACTGCTGCGATAAAGATTCTCTCGAGAAAGGTCGAGAACAAAGAACTTTTCACCTGGAATCATATTCGACCAGAGCGAAAGATAAACAGATGTTCTGCCAAAGACATCCGGCCGGAGTGGACAGCAGCCCAAACCACTTGCCAGAACCGAATAGAATGGAAAGCAAAAACAAAAATGTCCAGCAGTCCCCAATGAGCAGCTCGATTAGGACTACTCTGTGCAACTGATGGATGACTAATGGACTTCAGCAGCGATGGATTGGTGCCCAAAGGGTTCAAGTGCCCATCGGCTAAGATGTGACGATGAGGTAGCAGAGATATGATAGACTGTAACGACAAATTACAGGAGACAGACAAACGTGGGAAAAGAGAGAGTTTATCTACAGCAAATCTGTCTATACCATAATCTCTTGCGCTATTCGCTTTTCAGTCTGGCAAATTGGCAATTTTTCATTTTCACATATCTATGCCGAGAAACAGGCTTCTTTGGCCATCCTATCGTCCCTCTTGTTATCACTTTACTTTATCTCCATACAACAGCAAACCACCGCTTGGAAGGGGATACCTTCGTACAGCCAATCCGGCACACCATTGTAAACGTTAAACGAGCCAGTCGTAGTGATCATCTTCGCCGCTTCATGCACCGATGGCTGATAGTAAATATTGTTATTGTAAACAAATACCTAAAAAACAATTAACCAAATCATAAGCGGGAACGAAAAGTAGATGTTTCTTACAAAATCGTTGCTTTCGTGTGCAGGGTTCCAAGAAAACAACGACAACCTTTCGCGTCCGTTCTTCGTAGGACCGACAGGTAGTTCTTCACTAAAATAAGCTCCTACAACAAAATAATCTAGCTGTCCATCGACTAATGCCATCTGAATACACTGACTACATGCAAATAACTCAGGAAACGAATACGTGTGACAGAAGATGACAGTGATATAGCGGTCGAGGACAGCTGAAAACAAAAAAACGAACAATAACAAAAGCAAAAGGATATGCCGTAAATTCATTCATCTCTAAACGGATGAGGCCAAGCTCCACACTTCTACGTCAAATCAAAACAGCGACGCTTTTAGGATATGCTAAGTTTAAGAGTTTAACAAGAAAAACAAATGGAGACATTTTGTTGGCACCAGCCAACAGCGTTCCGTCACATCTCGTTTGGGTTCAAGTTAACTTGCCGTTGTTTGCTTATAAAGACTTCAAATTTGAATCGTCCAATAACGCATTTTTAAGCGCTAAGGCAAGCTAAGTTCATTTTGCCAACATTTATGATTATCTGAAGCGCTTTCAACTCTTCAGATGTACCCTAGTCGCCATAAACGGAGAGCGGATTCAGCCCGGCTGGCTGTCATACGGAACAACAGAGGGCGACTGTAGCGTATGTTTCGAAAGAAGGCGCTTAGATAGAAGATTATAACGAATTCCTGCTTATCTCGCGCTCAAAAAACGATGCGATACGGCCATTTTTACATTGACTATTTCTTAGCGTGTTCTCTTCAAGCAGGATGTGCTGTTTGAGTCTATTGCTTTATATTTTTTGCGTTATCTTTAAATTTTCGGTGACTCCTCACATTTTCACATCGTTCTTGACGACATACATCGTGCCACCATTTCTTTGGTCTTTTTCTTCTTTTCTTCTTTGAGAGTTTCAGTGCTTGGACCACATTTTCAACGTATATCTTCGTTTCACGTGGCCGAAAATAACTAGCCTGCCTTCGATCAGCTTTTTTCAAACTGATGCTATACTTTGTATTTCTCATGAAGATATTCGGTATGGAGTCCTTTTGCTGACATCCATCTAAGCATTCACATTTCTACGGAGTTCAGCTGTTGCTCGTGTGTTTTCAGGATAACCAAACATTCCGCTCCGTACAGAAGAACGTCATACTATCATGCTTATCTTTCCCTTTACATGGACATCTTATCGCACAATATACCCCTCACCTCTCTCCACTGGTGCCACGCTTTTTTCTATCGATTCCTTAATTCAGTTCTACACTGTTTTGCGTGATGGTAAAACGGTATCTGCTTTACTGAATAACACAATCTCTGTTACTTTCGCTGCTTCGTTGGCTTACCCGTTGCTATCCCCAATGAAATAGCTCGCCATTCATTCTGATTTAACTTTGCTGTATCGAAGTCCATTTCTCTCCACTACTCCTCTTCATCACTCGGTTTCTGCTACTACTGCCTCTCCGGTTTCATTGGTCCGCACAATGTCATCTGCGTAAAG